TGACTTAAAACGACTATTCCAGGGGTTAGAACTTCTCTTTTTGGTTTTAACGATGTGAACCCCTATCAAACCTACCCCACTCACATGCTATGTTTCTTTCACTTTATCACAAATTATTGTTCCAATTTGTCTCTCCAAATATTCATTGACGACCTGTTTGGGAGTATTTTTTGGCACAAAAAATTGATTTTTTGACCGTTATTTTACTATTTCAGCCGTCATATTTGACTTCTTCTCTCACATGTAAACCTCATTTTTCTCCTAACGGTCAAAAAATCAATTCTCAAAATTACTCCCAAACAGGCTCTGATTAATAATGAATAAATTAGAGTAGTTCTAATTTTATATCTTTGTATTTGTTGATATAGAGGAAGCTGTTTGTACAGCGCATTTTGGCACTGTACATGTATAGCCCCTCAATGTGCTATGGGGCCTACTCTTTAAGTCGTGCTATGTGTTGAGCTGTGCACACAATACAACTCTTGTTGATATAAGATACTTGTACTATCTCAACTGGTATATTAATATTCCGTGTATAAAATTAGATAGTATAATTAATAAATTCCCGTTTTATAAAGATTAAAATCTAAATTTTAATTTAACTCAAATTTAACAATTAATGTTAATCATATTTTTTCTGAACTCCACAATTTTTTAACCACACATTTTATCATTAAACTATACTAAAAATCTAATTTTAATCTCCATCAATTAGGAGGTTAAATTTTTTTAAATGTTTTTTTAATTTTTAATTCTATCTAATTTTATCCAACTTATAGCTAGTATATCAAAAAACCTCCCGAACCTATTCATGATATATATATATATATATCAATTTTATTGCTGAAAGTTTGATTATTTATCAAGGGTGAAGCTAGAAAGATACATTAGAGCGGGAAATTTAATTTATTTTTCAATAAACTTACACCATTGAAGATGCTCTACGTCACAAGATGTTTAGTTTAAAAGGTTAAACTTATAACGTCCAAAGTGGGTTAGAATATATTTTTGGACACTCGTGATAAAGTTCTAACAAATATGTTTTTAACTAATAAAATTAAATATAAAATATATTAACATAAATTTTATGATCGAAATAAATAAATTTTTAACTCACAAGCATAAATAAGTAATATAAGAAAAAATACATTAGAAAAAAATTTAATTACTTTTAAACTTGATCAAAATTAGTTTGTGAATTAAATTAGTTAGGCTAAACTTAACTTTTGGGCTGAGCTTAATTTTTATTCTTTTTTATTTGACCATGAATCTGAGTTAAATTTTCCATTTCTAGAAAACAATTTGTTTTTGGGTTAGGGAAGGAGCTGGGCTATAGCCCAATCCAGCCCCCTCTCCATCCGCCTCTGTTAGTTGTAGTTTGTTAACTAGATTTGAACTTCAATAACTTATAGCGATGCAGCAAACAATGTTAACATCCAATTATAGGGTCGATAAGATTATCAATAATTATGATCGGTTGTACTTAGACTACTAATTCATCAAAAAAGTTTATTTTTTTATTTTATTTTTGTGGTTTTGTCTAATCTTGCCTTTCTCTTTGTTGTGGATTGTGTAGTAGAGTAATATAATTATATACCCAAATTAAGATTCCTAGATAATTAGTGGATGCCATCATCTTCATGCATTGATGATTAGGTTTTCTCGTGGGATAATTATGAAAAGTTAAAAGAGTGCCATGCAATTCTCTTTAGATCCTTTCTTGATCACAAAGTATCATTTTTCTTATATTTAAATTTAAGTAAGCTGGTACCTTTGTTATTCTTTTCAAGTCACATATTAACATTCAAATCCTTTATGGATGCCACTATTTGTTTGTTTTTCGTCAAGGAAATATGTAAGGACCACATATCGAAGCACAGAACTCTTCTTTTCTTCTTCTTCATTTTTTTTTTTTTTATTATCTTTTTCCCTTTTTTTGTGGAATTTATGAGTTCTTGTGAAACAATCCATTACTTGAGCAAAAGTTGATGGGAGCCGGACCCTGGCCAGTTGGAGGCACATCCTGCGATTAACCGGACTGTGTGAAGAGGGGCCGGATCACAGACCCAAGGATTAGTCTAGAATAGGACACCTTGTAAAAAAAAAAAAAAAAAAAAAAAAAGTTGTTGACTAAAAAAAAAAAAAAAAAAAAAAAAAAGTTGATGGGAGCACATGGGGACTAAAACGTTTCCTTCCAAGAAAAATCTATTATAATCTGGACCAGATCCAAAACCACTTTATTGAAATCAAAAAAGCTCTGATACTACTTTTTATGAATCGAGGAAGCGAATATGACACAATATGAAGTATATGATCGCATACAAAAATAATATTAAAAGCAAGAAATAGATTGCCAGAGGAACCGAGTATTTTGTTTGACAATCAATGGAGAAAATAATATTGTTACAGCAATCTCAACAATACTTAAATTGGATGAAGAGTCTACTATTATAGGGGATATGTTAAAATCCTAGAGCAAATTAAAAGATGAAAACTAGATCAAAATACGTGTGAAACCGACAAGAAGAGAAACACTTGTGCGGCATCATCACTTGAGTCTCGTCTGGCGTTAGGCGAGCGACTGCAATGTCACTCGAGCAAGAGCTCGACAATAGATGGGACAGCTCCCTGCTCCAAAAACTCGCCTACTGCCTGAGCAGCCAGCTAGCAACAGCCTGGTTAAAATGCGATGACATTTCTTACCGATTCATAATTTTGATATCTTCAAGACATCTTCAACTAAAACTCCAATACGTACTAAAATTTGGGTCAAACTACAACAAAATGAATAAAATGAATGACATCGAAACCAAAAAGTAAAAAAGGAAAGGGGTTAAAAAAGAGAAAAAGACCCATGCTCCCTGTCCCAAATCCTAATGGAAATATGTACTTGAAACTTTTTATTTATGATACACAAATCTTCCTAATTGATTAGATTCGAATAAAGCTAGCCATTGAGCAGACTCCCTCTAGCACGTTCCCTCACTTGTGGATCAAATTTAAAACCTAACATGTGCATGATTTTCATAGTAGATTGACAATGAAAATTGAATTTTGATCTTTTGAGTACTATGATACTAGGTTAAACTACCTTATCTAATAGTTGAAAGTTTTATGAATATAAAAACTGAAAAGGGACCCTAGCTTTTGGTTGTAAGTGACAAGCTTTAACCTAGGCCTAGCAGTGGATGTCATTTTTATATGCGTCTCTTTCTGGGCGGTCTTATGTCCATTAAGGTTGTATTTCCGTTAAATCCTTTTCATGATCCTCTATATGTTTCCTTAATTTTATTGCAGTGGCAATATAGTATTGGTTTTCCTTGATTTAGTGGCAAATTATTTATATACCTAATGTTGCTTGACATTACAAAAAGAAATAACAGCAATCGATTATCGAATTCAATCGGATATATCATATATTTCTAGGCACGTTTCTTAAAAGATATGTCTCTTTTCCAACTTTAAAGTTCAATCATGAATGAAGTTGAATATATTGGCAACAAAGTGCATGCCCTCGAGAATTCGAGTCTCCTTCGTCTTATAGGCTCTACAGGATGACACGACATATCTTTGTGAATAACTTCAATGAGAAGGAAAATGAAGTTCAATGTAACAATATTTCTTGACTATATTCTCACATGGATATGGAGGAGGGATATAAGACTAAGAACTTTCCTGGGCATGGAAATTATTTTTCATGATTTGCCTCAAAGTAGTTATAATATCTTACATGTGCATAACACAAATTTTGAAATTATTTTATGAACTATGCATTGTTGGTAAAATTTCCTAAATTTCAAAGGCATTAAATCTTTTAAACAGAAGAAAATAAAAGTACACGTCCACTATAGAAAGGTGCGTGTCCACGTGCCATGGTATGAACATTCATGTCTCTTCATTGAGACTTGCTCAAAAAAAAGGAACATGTATGATTTTAATGCTTGATCAGAAACATGATTAGAAGTCTTAGACGATCTTGAACATGGACAAGGCTCTTCTCGGTGTCAATTTTTACAAATCATGCCTTTGCGTAAATAGAATAATCCTAGACTAATGTCAGAGCATAAAAATATCAATAAGTTTTCAAAATGAGAACTTAATTTTGATTTTCAACAAAATATTGAAGATGTCAAACCATAAAAATGATTCAAAAGTTCTTATCAATCTCCTATAAATAAGCCGTTGCACAATTAAGAAAGGAGATAGCGAAGATTGGAAATTTAATAGGAAAAACTCTAATAAAATCAAGAGAAAAACTGTAGAGTTGGCATCAAGGAATATTATAGCCCCCGTTTGATTTTCATTCTTTGGCCACGAAAATAAAAAAATATGATCATCCATCACATTAAGCCATCATATTTGACTTTTTATCTCTTGTGTGAATTCCATAACAACTATATTTTTCTTTCTCATTTTTACAAAAATGGATACCAAACGGGGTATTTTTTGAGGACCTTATTTGTGGAAATCCATACCAAAAGCACGAAAAGAAACACGTGTGAAGAAAAAGAAAAGCCAAGTAAAAGAGTGAAATAAAAACTAGGAAAATAAGTGATAGTGGTCAAATAGTGATAAAAATTCAATAAGAAGTATGCATGAAAGTCCTGCTTTTTCACTGAGAAGAAAAAATCGAAGGTCGTTAACTTAGCTAATTTACTAGACAAAACCAACAATTAGAAGTAATAGTAAACTGATTATATGATGGACAAATTTCTCACTAGTAATAATAAATTCTATGATAGAAATTAGTTAAAGATTTGGTGGATGAATAATTTAAAAATGAAAAAAAAAAAAAAAGGTGTAAAGAGCATTGAAATTTAGTAGTTAAAGATTACATTAATCATGATCAAGAAAATTTAGGAGAGGAGGAAAATAGGCACCATTTAAAGTGTGGCCTAAGACTTAAAAAATCTTATGGCCAACCCTGCATAAACTGGTTTAGCACAATTTATATAAGAATTTAATATACACTTGGAAAAAAAAAAAAATCGAATTTGGGCATTCCTTTATTTTAGAGGTAACAAAATGTTATAACATATACATGCGGTCCGTTACTTACAAGAGGTAGCACAATGACATTTCATATATCTTTATTGGGCATTCCCTTATTGAACAGGTTACTTTACATGTACATGAAAGATACCCAAGAGCAAGAGATTGAAGAAAAAAAATAATTATTTAAAATATCCTTTTTTCGAAGAGAAACGGATCGATGAAAATATACTTAGAAACGCCATGTAAATGAATCCTACGAATAGAAGTCCAGTCGAAATGTTGCCCCGATCGTAGAATTTCTTACTTCCACCTCCAGAAACCCTCATCATCTCAAAACCAACACCAACTCCTGTTGCTAATAAGAATGCAACCACCTGCCATTAAATTGCCAATTTAATCACATAAATTTCACTTTATATTACAGATAAAGAGCCTTCTCTCTTTGTTCTGTTAACTTTAAAAGTTAAGAAGAGTTTGAGTACCTTGTCTCCATAAAAATCGAACACTTTTAGCCATCCATTAGGTATCAACCTCTTTTCTTTGATCACATTGTATATCGCAAAAGGGATCTGAATCAGTGTATACACAAATCCTATGCCAGCAGTTGTCACTACATAGCTGCGACATACATTTTAAGGGGAAAAAAATTATTATACTATCTTGTCTACAAGTTGAAACTATATATTCTTTTTAAACTGATGATCACCTGTAAGCAACGAGATCCATGAACTTAGCTTCGGAACCATCGACATTGTCAAAATAGTTGAGAGCCATAAGCGCGATGGAAGCAGCCAAAGCAAGGAGAGTGAAAATCCTAAGAATAAGGACTCCGTTTCTTATTGCCTTGCTTGCCATTACGCCTTTCTATGTACTGCTAATTCCCTTCTAATGCTTAATTAATTATTTGTATACATTAAATTTTCAGAATTAAAGCCTATATATAGAGAGAGAAAGAGAGGGAGAGAGACTATTAATTATCCCTCCCAGACACCACCGTTTTAATCTTGGAAATGTCCAGACTACAATGTAAGAATGTTGATCTCGAGGGCAAGGAAAAGGCCAAGAAATTTAATGGACTATATGTAGAGAGGGTTGCGTAGAAATTAAGTACGGGATTTCTTCTGATCAAGACATTCATATTGAAACTTACGACACAAATATTTAATCATATCTTAATCGAATTATCCCTGCTAACAAAAACGCGTATTTACTTGGTGAAAAAACCTTAATGATCATCTTGCGAGTTCATTTGATGGAATATTCACATGAATAGATAGAACCAATATGTATTTAATCACTGTTGCTGACGCCTAGTTACAAGGTAAAAACAATAGCAATTAAAACTAGTTTTCAACAGACTTTTCATTAAAATTGATTGTTGTGAGAAATCAAAATACAATCAATCCAATTTCGAACAACTCAACTTAAAGTAGTGGGATGGACCACCTCATCCGCTTCCTGAGCGCAAGGCAAGTGGCACAACCCATTTAGGTAGCACCATCCAAGAGAAACAAGACATAACTTGAAGGGCATCACATTTTGCAACATCTTTTGCAAGAACATAATGACGAGCCATGATGAACCCCTCTCTTAGAGCAAGTGCCTCAGCATCATCCAGAGTAAATCAAACCAACATTCTCTTAGTCCGAGCCATCAGCACCATGGCCGTACGATCTCTTAGCGCAGGACCGATGCCAACAAGAAAACTTGCACTATTAATAGGATGAATAAAAAAATAAACAGTAATTACTAAATAACTTAGATGTTGGTAATCCATTACTTGGGATTTTGCCTAAAAAGCTTGGTCAAAACATTTTAGCAGTATTCAATCAAGTTTTTTTTAAGATTCTATAAAAATCTTGAGGTATTCAATATAAATAAAAAAAAAAAAATCATTAAAATTCTGAGTATTAAATCAAGAGTCTTAAAAGTCTTAGAAAGACATGGGGGGTTCAATATGTCTAATAATTATTGACTTTTGTAAAATGCTCTAGATACTGACTTTTATAAGATAAAAACTATAAATACAAAATCTCACAATTTATAAAAAAAAAAAAATCATTAAAATTCTGAGTATTAAATCAAGAGTCTTAAAAGTCTTAGAAAGACATGGGGGGTTCAATATGTCTAATAATTATTGACTTTTGTAAAATGCTCTAGATACTGACTTTTATAAGATAAAAACTATAAATACAAAATCTCACAATTTATGCATTATTCTTTATTGACTTTTGTAAAATGCTCTAAATATTAACTTTTAAATAAAATATATGAATACAAAATATCACAATTTATCTCTCATTCATCCCAAAATTTTGAAAAAAAGACAATAAATGGATAAATAAATAGATAGAAAGAAAAAACGTCTTCGAATTTGTAATATTTCTATTTCTTGAATTTATACTTATCCACCCTCTCTCTTTCGACGAACCCTAAAGCATGATATAAAAATAAATATTTTTCTCGTTCAACATTTTATTATTATTATTCTATAATATTATCATTTCCTATCTCTCATTTATATTTCACCATTTTCTCATTTTTTTCTACAAAAAGAACCAATAATTAAAAAATTTATGATTAAAATTCCATATATAATTTATAATTTTCTGCAGGTTTAGAAATATTGACAATATTGAATACAAGAAATATTTATTTTTGTCAAAATGTATTGAAATATTATTTATATATATATTGGAATTTGGTTCTTCATTTTTTTTAATTGAGGCGACTTATACTTTCATATTTATTTTAAAAAAAAATTTGAAATGAGAAATATGTTTGTTGGAGAAGAGAGATATTTGATGATGTTTGAAGGATTTGCTAATATTGAAGAATATTATGGTGCAATCACGTTTTGGAAGATTTTCATAATTTGTTAATCTTTTTTCTTGATTGCCTCATTTTTAATAAGGCAATCTTGATGTAATGAGAATATATATGTTTCATTATAAGCTCCAAACATAAGTGAATAATATACAAGCTCTCTCTTCTCTCGTGGATGTAGGTTGCTACACTGGCGCTGAATCACGAAATTCTTTGTGTTCTTTTTTAGTTTATTGAATTCTTCATGGTATCAGAGCGGATGTATAGTTTCGGTCTATTCCTATTCAAACCGAACCTGTTTTGAAATTTAGAAATGTTTCATAATCTCTAGGAAAACAGATTTTTTCAGCTTTGCGCGACCTCCACGGAAATGACTGTATCTGTCAAATCGTAAATCGGAATTGTGCAAGGTTGGTATCTGTCAAATCGTAAATCGGAATTGTGCAAGGTTGGTGCCGTTGGATTCGTATCATCCGTATCTAGATAATTGTCTTTTGGGCTATTTTTGACAACGTTAGGTGGGTTAAAATCATCTTCAAAGTCAGCTGTTCGCGTTTTTCAATTTTCCACTTCGTGTTTTTTGGCCTCTGATTATTTGCTTTTCAGTTGACAATGACTGAGAAAGTAATTAATCCATATGTAACAATGGAGAATGATGCTAAACCCGGATGGAAGTTATCTAGCCCTTGTTTGTTTCCCATTTTTTCTCCATTAAAATGAAAAATATGACCATTATCCATCACATCAAACCACCAAATTTGAATTTCTATTTCTTGTGTGGGGCCCATAACGGCTATATTTTTCATTTTTATTTTTACAAAAATGAGAAACAAACACCCCACTACTATTCCTTTGAATGGTATAAATTATATATCATGGTCAAGAGCCGTGACGTTGTCTCTTGGTGGAAAGAAAAAGTTGGGTTTCATCAATGACACTTGTTCCTATCCAGATTCTACAGGTCCAACATATGAAGGATGGATATCGAATGACCAAATTGTTCATTCTTGGCTTCTAAATTCAATGGAAGGCAATATTGCTGAAATCTTCACCTTGGCAGAAGAGTTGTGGAAATCTATTGAGGAACTTTATGAAAACCAAAATAATGCCGCTAGAATATTTGAATTGAAATGAGAAATTACTGCTGCTGAGCAAGGAGATAAGCTATTCATTGGATACCTTGGTAATCTTAAGAAGATGTGGGACGAATTGAGTATATATCGTCCACATACGACCGGTGCAAAAATCTTATTAAAAAGGGTTGAAGAAGATAAAATCTTTTCCTTGTTGAGTAGTTTGAGACCTGAGTATGAGAATCTTTGGAGTCATATCCTTATGAGTCCTACGATTCCATCTTTTTCGAGTGTGTGTGCAACTGTACAGCTAGAAGAAACTCAAAAAAAAGGGAATGAATTCAAAATTAAAGAATATACCCAATTCTTCTGCTCTTACCGTTAAAAGAGATGAAAAACGCAAAAAATTTTAGAACAAGAAGAGACAAGAAGCTCCTAAATGTGACCATTGTCAGAAGCTAGGACACTCTAAGGATCGTTGTTGGGAACT